GTGGCAGTTTCCAGCTTGTCCCCGGTCAACATCCAGATCTGGGGGGGTGGAATCATAAAAAAACAATGACGTGATACTTTCCATTCCATTTCAATTGGCTAACATGTTTTAATCTTCTGACCAGACCTTGATGCCGGCGTTCCTGAGCAGCTCCAGCGTGGGCCTAACATCAGCCTGCAGCTGGTCCTCCACGCCGGTCAGACAGAGGAGCTCCATCTCCCGCTCCAGGCTCTCCACCACCGCTGCTACTTTAAGGGTCCGGTCGTGGATGCTCAGTTTGGCCTGGTTGTAGCGGCTCTGTGGGAGAAGTCGCCACAAGTCTGCTGATGAGCCGAGGGGAAAACTGCGATGAAGGGTAGACTGGTACCTCAAAGTCCTGGTACTGCTCCTCGGACAGCGACTTCTTGGCCACCACCAACGTTCTCAGACCTTCTCGGGCCATGTTGCCACACTGACAAGAACCAGATAATAATGGTGAACAATTTAGGGTTGTATTGTGATTATGTTGCAATTTTCAAATAGTACTGGATTTTTTTTTTTTTTTTTTTTTAGGGGTGTACAATAACCCCCAAAACATGAAAAGTTGTGTTGATCAAGCCACAGATTGGTTTGCATTATTGTTGTAATCTTACTTTTTTCTTTCCTCATACTACTGCCACACTAGTTTGGTCGAATTTTGTGAAGTTGTTCTGGTAAAACCTTAAAAGACTGCAAGTCAAAGAATAAGTTTACTCTAATTGAAGACGATAAACTGTTTTAATAATTCATCATAATTCATGGCTCATATGCCAACATTTTTAACATAAAACGTTTACTTAAACTAAAACGTTTAAGTATAATAACTCTGATTTTGTTAATTACAATACAGATTAATGGATTGATTGTGGTTTTTTTTTTTTTTTTTTAAATAAACATGTGGGAAGAGCACACAAAAAAAAACTATTGCGTATTTAATAGTACCGGTAATCACAATATTATGGGGGAAAAAAACAAAACAATTAGGCTATGTAACAAAATTGTTCAGTATGAGCGGTGGTTAGTTTTGCTTCTGTATTTAAGTATGATTTCAAATTCAGTACTTTTTTTTTTTTT